ATCATAATGTCTCCAAAAGCTTTCAATTTCATCTTCTGGAACTTTTGTTGATAAATATGTCACAACTGAGTAATAATTTCATGTTTAATTCTAAATGCCTATGTATGCACAAAACTCCTAATATAGATGACCTGAACATTTTAGAAACCTGTGTTATTCATTCCTTCATCTACCCATTCATTGAGTATTTATCAAGGACCTACTATCACTAGGCATGTACTGGGAAGATTGCAATGGACAAAGGAGAACCAAAATACCTGCTCTCATGGAGCTTATTCTGCTGAGGGAGTTTCTGACCAAGCAGCAAAATGAAGCTTTGCTTATTTCTCTTTATCTATCACATTTCATTTATCCATAAATAATCTGAAACTTACAGAGAGAAGCACAATGCAATAGAAAAATTTAATATAGATAAGGAAAAGTAAAACCCAAAAAACAGCAATGATATTATAACCTTGGTGAACTTTAAAAAAAATCCAGAGCAAATAGCCTGAAAGGTGGTTAGAATAACTCAGTGGTAAAATAAACTGCAACTGATGTTAAATAAAGTAAAAAACCAATATTTTCAAAAGCATAAAGATCAAAGTCCTTTAAAACACTGATTTTTTAAAATCTAAGGTTGTGTCCCAGAATATTAGTAAAGTTCTCAAAAAATTTAGATCCCTGGATCTACCTCAGATCTTCCCAATTATAAATCATATGGGATCCAAAGATAGATAGTTTTAAAAAGCCCCAGAAGCAGTCTGAGGCGCCTTTTAAAGCCACTGTCTGAGGGTGGGATTTCCTAGATGGCAGACCGAGGAGTTCTACAAATCCTCTTTCTCCCAAAACACGATGAGAATGGAAAATACAGTCAAATCAACCATTTCAGGACCTTGGTAATCAACGGAAATCAAGCAACAAGCTGAGAACTGTTGTTTCTTGGAAAACTACCCACAGTGGGGAAGTGGAGGGGAAGTGTGTGGTCTTCCTGCCCCTCTCAGCTCAAGCTCTACTCTGGTGGGCGGGCGGTGCGCCGGACTGCCCTGAATGCGGACAGCGGAAAATGCCACTCCCAGGCATTGTCCGAAAACAGCAGTGCTCTTGCAGGCAAACGGATGCTGACAGTCAACCTCTTAGCTAGCCTGAGACAGCAGTCCTACTGGGGCCACTCCCAGATGACTATCTGTTCATCTAACCAGAGATCCTAAAAATGAGAGAGCCATGGAGGGTTTTGATAAACTTTCACACATCCTGGCCAACTAGGAGGACCTAACAGGTCTGGTGGAAATAAAAGGCAGAGCAGGTTTGAAAACTCCTGAACTCTGAATATGTTCACAGTTCACAGTCCACAATCCACATCAAAAGAGGTTGGAAGCTTTATTGGATTGAGTTGTTGCAGTGCAACCTCTGGCTTATCATTAACCACTGAACTACAGACACCGAAGGACAACCCTAGGAAACAAGGCTTAGACATAAAAGTAAGAACTAAATTGCTATCTCGAATATAACTGAAAACATAATTAAAAAAAAAAAAGACAAAATTGTTACATGGTTGTGAAAAACAGAAGGCAGCAGAATGAATTCCTATGTGGACTGTTCTTCATTTATTCAATCCCTATTTATATTTGTTTTACTCTGGATCAGACACTGTGCTCAATGCCCCAGTACAATGGCAGACATAAGAGATAAGGCTGAAATTAAATAGTTCATATTCTAGAACTAGGGTCTGCTCTTCAAGGTCTCAGGATTTGGGGCAGATTTCTCTAGTCTTACACACAGTCTCAAATTCCTAAAAGCACATGGTTTTTTAATGATTTATATGACTTATATAATACACTTGACCTTTGAACAACATAGGGGTTAGGAGCACCAAACCCTTGCACAGTGGAAAATCCATGTATAATACTTGAGTTCCCTAAAATTTAACTAGTAATAGCCTACTGTTGACAGAAAGCCTTACTGATAACATAAACAGTTGATTAACATATCTTTTGTATTTTATATGTATTATATACTGTATTCTTACAATAAAGTAAGCTAGGAAAAAGAAAATGTTATAAGGAAAATCATAAGATAAAATACATTTACTGTACTGTGTTTATTAAAAAAAATCCACATGTAAGTAGACCCATGCAGTTCAAACTTGTATTGGTCAAGGGTCAACTGTATTTTAAGTAACAGATTTGAGGGAGTCAAATACATTACCGAATAATTTTAAGTGATAGTATTTTGTTTCATTTGGTACAAAGAAAATAACATTAAAATATAACAAGGGCATCTATGTTCCAGAGCTGGCTCTAACACTTTCTGTCTCAATAGTCCTTGCCAAAACATTCTAGAGCTCAGTTTCATTATTTATAAAGTAAAGCAGATTTGACTAGATTTCTAGACTGACTCTTTGATCTCAAATCTATGACTCAAATTCCAAGGGCACACAATAATACAATAATACACAGTAATATAAAAATACAAGAAACGTACCCAGGCCTACTTTAATGAATACAATCCATCCATAATTAGCACAGCATTTGTAAACACATGCACACTTTAAGGTGGAATTTAAAGAACTATTCTCTTGAATAGATAAAGCATTGCATTTGAAACCTTATTTATAAGACTTGGCAGTAGACTTAATTTTAATATATAGTATTAGAGTCAAAACTTGTCATAATATATTCACAAAGATTATAGGGATCATAGTGATTAGATTTTACTGTACCTGAGATCAGAATGTTAACATCATGACTCTTGATATTTATTTTTATTTACTTAACAAATATTACACAGTAATCACTGTGTAATCACTTTACACATATCAATTCATTTAATCCTCAAGACACTCCTCCGAAGAGCTACTATTATTATCACATCTGTTTTACAGATAAAGGAAACTGAGGCATCAAGAGGTTGACTAACTTGCCTAAGGCGCTAGGTAGGAGGCAGTAAAACATTAAACTCGCTCATGGCTGGGGCGCCTGGGTGGCTCAGCCGGTTAAGCATCTGCCTTTGGCTCAGGTCATGATCCCAGAGTCCTGGGATCCAGCCCTGCATCAGGCTCCCGGCTCAGCGGGGACTCTGCTTCTCCCTCTCTCTGCACGCCATTGTTCTCTCTCTCTCTCTCTCAAATAAATAAATAAAAGCTTTTAAAAAAACAAAACAAAATCCCTTGCCAATGGCTAGTAAGTGGCACATAGGCTGCATTAAAACTCAGGTCAGCTGGCTCCCAAACTCCATGCTCTCACTTACTATATATTGCCAGAACTCATAAACCAATAGGCTTGTACTGTAATACAGAATATCCAAAGAAGGAAACTATGGCAGTTATTAAAGGAAAGGACATATATTATTTCCCTTAAACATATGCACACACACACGCGTGCGCCCTCACAGACTCACACAGCTCTTGTGCATTCACAAAACCAAATGATAAATTTGAAGATATGAAATTTATAAAAAAATATGTATATAAATATAAATATATATAGATCCCCCAGAGAAGTGGTGGTATAGAAGTTAAGATCTTCAGTGTTTTTAGATTAAAATTGTTAGACCTTACATTTTTTAACAATCCAAAAATGAACCCTATACATGTTATGTCGTGAGCAAGTCCATTACATATATAATGTCGATTCTATACAAACTTTATGCAATGCCACACTATCTAGCTTTATATTTTAACATGTATATGATACACCTTTTATTTACCAATTTGAAAGAATCATCTTTCTAATTTAAGGGTCCTCTTTTATCTCTGCCTTAAATAAACAACAATTGCATCTTCCAGATAATTCGTATTTGTTGAATCATTATAGTCCTCTGGTGTGTATCTGGCCTATAATATCATGTGTTTCTCTTCTCCCCACCTAGTACCTTTGCTCTAACCACAGTGATATTTGTATTCTTTTTCTGCACTTTAGAAGATTTCAGCTTCAGTTTCTGAATTCTTCCATTAGTGCTGAGAGATTATTTTTAAAAGAAGTTTTTTTGTAACAACCAAGTGCATTTTATATGGCTGGGATGTTCATGTCAGGCCGTGAAGACATCCTCATACATTTATCAAGAAATCATAATAGAACTCCACTGAACAATGAAAATGCCAAGAGACATGAAATGGGGAAACAGAGAGGGCTCCAGAAATCTCTCAAGTAGCAGGGAAAGCATGCAGGCACAGGGCATGTGCAGGCAAATGTCCACAGCCCCACTGAGAGACTGCAGCCATTAAAAAAAAAGGGGGGGGGGTAGCTAATGATATGCCAGATAAGAAGCTGTCCTCTCTAGAGCATCACAGGACATTCCTTTCTGGAAATAGAAGAGTCTGTCCCATGCTATCTGGTGTGCTTCTGAGTCGGTCTTTGCAGCAAAAAGACAATTACGTTTAACTTTCTAATTAACATGTGTCCTTCCTGACAGACACTGTGAATGAGACACTTTTTCCTCCCCATTATGGCTTAGACTTTAGATTTAATTACTGTGGAAATGAATCAAGAAACATGACTTCAGGCATAGCATTCTAAATGTCGGCAGAGGAACAATATTAATTCTCTATTCTAAAGTATCTGTGTCATCCCACCTTTATGATGAGTGATGTGAAAATAATTTTAGGAAGGAGGTGACCGACCCGGAGACCCTACAAGACATCGGGAGGATCACCTATCAGTTGCGGTCAGGAGAGATTTTCTTTGGATAACAACGGAGTTTTATTTTGCACATTTTCATAATTACTAACATATAAAGAAATTGTTCTTCAAGTTATATATGAAAGGACCAGAGCCCTTTAAAACTTAGATCTAAATGAGTTCATAAGCTATTATCAAAATCCAGCCACGTTCTCTTTTATTGCCTCAAATGAGTAGGGGGAATGCTTAATATTATTTTATCTTTCATGCCATGAGCTATGAGCCATGGAAATGCAATGGAGTCACTATTCAGTCTGCCAGTAAAATATATATTTGGAAAACAAAAGCCCCCAAACTTTAAAATGGCCTTAAAAGAAAGAAAGTTGCAGACATGCAGGCTACCTTCTCATACAATCCAGGGCTCGGATAAAGAAGTCCTTGTGTAGCTGGTGCTCGTCTCTCAGGATCGAGCACTGTTCCAGAGTCACCGACATCGATGTCCTGTCCTTGGCACTTTTGCAACAGGTGAAACGAATGCCATTGAGTTTGCGACAAATCTGCAACACAGACATACAAACAGCTCGTTGCCCATCTGTAGATGACTCTAAAGTGTCGGACTCATCTATAAACACTTTTTATCTAAACACGCCAAATTTATGGGAATTTATGATAGTCAATTGGTTCAATCTGCCCTAGCGAATGAAACGCATTATCTTTTCATTTCAAAAGCTAGGGGAACAGATTGAATCTATTTAGTTCTTTGTATGTGACGTGTGAGGTGTGGGGCTGTTGAAGCATATGAGATGGTCACTGCCCTGAAAGGGGGCCTGAGCCATAGCGGATGACAGTAATGATCACTGCCTAGGAGCAACACCTTAATTGTGAAGGGAAAATGAAACTAGATTTCCTGGATCAGACACTTGGTTTGAATGCTAAGTAGCTAACATCTTCTTACTTTACATTTAAGAAACCTTTGCGAGTTTTGGCTTTAGGTTATGAGATTTCAAACATCTACGTGGTGCCATGAAGCAGATAAGTGAACCACTAGCCACTCATCAATGCAACTGGTAAAAATAAGGACACCAAAGAGTTGCTGTTAAGTGCACATCTACTGTACCAGGTATAATGCTAATAAATTTCATATAGATTTGCTCTTTCAATTATTTTTTAAAATAATTTATTGTACTTATTTATTTATTGAGAGAGAGAGAGCGCACGCATACACACATGATGGGGGGAGGGGCAAAGGGACGGAGAGAGAGAGTCCCAAGCAGATTCTGAGCTAAGCACAGAGCCTGACACGGGGCTTGATCCCACAACGCTGAGATCATGACCTGAGCCGAAATCAAGGGTTGGATGCTCAAACGACTGACTCCCCCAGGTGCCCCTAGATTTGCTCTTTCAATAACTGCACATGAATCCTGGAGGAAGCTGTAATCATTCTTATTTTACAGATGACAAAATTGAGGCTTAGCTAGATTAAGTAACTTGGGCACAACTGAACAGAGCCAGGATGCTAATGTAGGTTTGCCTAATGCCAGGGACCAAGCCTTTAGCTTCCCTTCTATTCTGTTTCTTTTTGCAAATTCTTTCTTTTTGTTATCCCAATGTAATTCAAGAGAAAAAATCTCTGAGCCACAATAATCTCTTGTCTCATTGCCTTATTGTTAGCAGGTGAATAACTCCATTCCTTTCTTCCTTTCTCTTCCCTGTCCCATGGCAGGGCCCTGATATGACAGACCAACACTACATTAGTATCAACAATGTTAATCAACATGCACTTAAAATAAATCTAATGTGATATAATACAGTCTTGCTTTATTACCTGCCATCAAGGAGGCCTTAACAGTTATTCTGCTTTGAAGAAAAGATATACTAACACAGTTTATCAAGGGTTTTTACCATGTTTTAATTGTGATTCTGATACTTACACTAGGATTGACAAGTCCTTATTAGACCTTTAGCACTTTCTCACTATTTCCAATGTAAGTGACTAGAGAAATATGATAGCAAGATTTCACCATAAAATATTTTTTTCATCTGGAAGACTCTAATCTTTTCAAATAAAGAGTATTTCAACATTTTTAATATAAAACAACAAAGACTTGGCTATTCATATTCATAATAATGAAATATAGACCTCAATGGCCACTTATGAGATAATGATTTTTTTAAAAAGATTTTATTTATTTATTTGACAGAGAGAGCGAGAGAGCACAAGCAGGGGGAGTGACAGAGGGAGAGGGAGAAGCAGGCTCCCTTCTGAGCAGGGAGTCTGATGCAGGACTGGATCCCAGGACCCTGGGATCATGACCTGAGCTGAAGGCAGACGCTCAACCGACTGAGCCACCCAGGTGCCCCTAGATAATGATTTTTAAAAAGAATGAATATTCTTTAAAATGTGTTGTCTCTAGTATATACAACTCTCCTACTAAGGATATTTAATGTTCTACATTTACCATAAAGAGAAGGCAGAGGCAATTCAGAGTGAGCAGGTTGGGTCTTGGTTTCCTTATTTCTACAGCTCCTCTGAACCATATGAACTTAATTTAATACACTTGATTGGCATGTGGTCTCTTTAAATTCTCATTTTTTATTTTTTAAAATTTGAACAAGACAAAACCAAATAGTGTTATATTTTTTCAATGAGAATGTAAAATATTAACACAGTAATATATAATTAATAGATTTTTAAAAGAGAGGAGAATGAAATAGAGACAAATAAAAGCTTTTTGGAAAATGTCAAAAGGAATTTCTATATTTCTTGATTTTAAAAGTATTATCCAAGTCCTTGATTTACAAAAAGGATATTGAAACTGAGGTATCAGCTACAGAAATGCTGTAATAATAATGTCAGTGTTCCTACATAATGCTAAATTTGCACATTATGGGTACCGTGTATTTATCAAGGCAGTCAATCATCCATTCAACAGTTGAGCTGCGAGAAAGCCATATTTGGTCAGTGTTTAAGTTTCAAAAAAGAATTTTCAGGAATGAATGAGATTTATGGGAAAACTTTTTTATACATTCAAATGGTAAAACTACATAAACTAAGAGAAAATATACATTTGTGTTTGTACATGTACATCTTTCATTTATCAATTGACACACAAATTCATGGTATGTATATAGTGACATATGTATATGTTCCTAAGTTGTCAGAAAGCCTTGGTAAATGATCAAATTACCTTCCTGTTATCCCATTATTAGTAAAAATAGCAAAAATAGCTCATGACCTACCTTTGTGAAATTTTTGTGAGAATTAACAACCACAGCAGTCTTTGAAGACATAAAAAGCAGCCACCACTGGTAGAAAAACTATTAAAAACAACGTTCCTGTAATGCAGTATGGTGCTAAATGGGACCAGTGCAAATGAGCTGCCTGAAAGCAATGTTTCATATTGTTACCTTTGATGTTCTTCCCTGGGCCTCCAAGAGGGCATGAAGGGAAGCTAAAGCAGCTTTCCTCCGCCTTGCTCTTGGTAAATGATTTTATATAGACTCGTGGTAAATTATCCATTCCTTTTTCCCAGAAGAGAGTAAGTAATATTGGATTATAATTGAACACTGGCAATAGGGACAAGGCTTTGTTTTAAATGCTCTTGATACAGAATGAATAGAGTTATTTTAGGAGATCGGTTACCGAACTCCAAATTACAAAGGCAACACTGTAGAGGAACTACAAATATGGCATTCATCATAAAGATCTCCAGTGTGGGCCTTTTCTGATGAAAGGATTCTTGCATTAGGAAAGGATCTTTGGGTCTGAGCGCTGAACAAAATTCATAAGTTCATGTGAGCTCTGCCTGAATGGTTGCCAGACAAGAGTTTCAAAAATACAGGCATTATTCTCTCCCTCACTCTGGTAGAAACCTGGGGCAGGAAATAAGGCAGAACTTCTGCCCTGAGGGTGTTATTGAATGAGAAAGAACCATAGAAAATATAGCTCATTACCCCAAGAGCAATCCATCAGTAATAAATTCTATGCTAATATCTAAATTAACAAACGCATTTAAAAGCTCATTAATTGAACAAGATGTCCAGGAGCCTTACTGAGGCCATGAGTCAAAGATCTGATAACCACATTCTGTTGCAACCATATGTCTCTAGAGTAGCACTTCAAAATCCTGATTGATATGGGCGACTGACATCGCAAACATGGACTATCAAGAAAACCAAAGACACTTCATTTTAGCCTCAAAGTGTCAAACTACATCCAGGATATACAAGAAAAGCCAATAGGTAAAATTGTTTCTTGTTGAGTGCATCTTCTTCCGTCTTGTGTTCTAGTGTATTGATAGAATTACCGACAGCATTGAAAATGCCAAATCCCCTGGATAATGGAGAATGACATCTGGTAACCCAAAGTGCAGAGATTGGACCCTACACAGCAAATACTCTATGATGTTTGCTGGTCATCATGGTGACAAGGACAAAGATCTGGCTGGAGAGTGCTTACCGTTGCAGCCAACCACATGATTTCTACATTCTTTCTTTTTTTGGCTTGGATATTTTGATGGAGATTTTCTAGTAATCCTTTTAAATCATTTTGTTCTTGAAAATGTGAAATGTCTGGGGAAAAAAAGGAGAAAGAAAGGGGGATCGTGTTAGTATTAAGCTGCCCATGGAGATTTGCTCAATTTATGTACAAGTAGAATTTCCATAACAACAAATAACATTTGGAGCAGAGAGTATCTGAAGATAATCATATTTATTAATCTGAGGATAATCATAGATATTAATCTCTCCAGCTTTATTCTTTACTTAGAAATATGCCTCAGCCTCCTCCTTTACGTATTCTGTGCTATTGCGTAATGTCAGTTTTCATATACTATTATTTTACTAACAAGGGAAACATTTTTGATGATGACGGCAGCCTCCCTTCAACCAAAGCATGACACAGATGAGACATGAGATATAATTTTACATCTAAATATAACCACTTTCTGCTACTAAGTAGCTAGTCTGAATCAAGAGGATACTTTAAACTGAACACCTCAGGGGTGGAAGAAATCTGAAGGTTCAAATGAAACACAGGAAGTCAGTTTCTACAGCAAGATACCTTCACCTTAGCACTATGGACATTTTGGCTTGGATTACATTACATTGCGGGGAATGGACCTATATTCTGCATTGCAGGAAGTTAAGTGGTATCAGTGACCTCTACCATTTAGAAACAAGTAGTACCCTTCCTGTCAATCAAAAATGTCTCCAGACATTGCCAGATGTTCCTCGAGGGCAAAATCTATCCTGGTTGAGAACAACTGCTACTAAGGAGGACAGGTACAGCATGGAAAGAGGGAAAACATGAGAGGTGATAGTTAATTATATGAGATAATTAGATAGGGAGCCGGAAATGACTGATGCTCAGATCTCTACCTACTAATAACTAAAGCATAGGTAATAAATGGCACACATTTTATATTAAAACCTAAGGCAATGCACATCATGACATAAATGTCCCTGACACTTGGTGAGATGGGGTCAAGATCAGAATATAGAGATGGAAACAAAAAAGTCTTTCTAAGAGAGTTGTTGGATTAATGCTGTACGGTATGAAAATGTGCTCTAATGTTGAATCTACAACCCGAAGAATGAAGAATTCCTAAGAGTTTTAATTGAGTTTGAAAACAGGAGAAAATCCATAAAAATAACATGGACTGTATGTAAGCTCTCCAGTAACAGTGAAGCAAAACTGATAGATTTCTGAATCAGATCTCTCTCTCTCTCTCTCACAAACACACACACACATGCATACACGCACACACACAATACAAATAAGTTGTAATCATAGTGTGACTTTGTACTTTCCAAAACTGTACCAGATGTTTCATTTTATTAAAATAATAAATCTGAGTAGTTCTTGATCTTAGCTCCAGAGAGTGAGGAAGTATCCTAATGACCTCTACTAGCAATCTGTATCTGCCAAAGAGTGAAAGTGGTTGGTAAAATAAAAATACCCATTGAAAACAGTTATATATCATCTTGAATTTCATGACCACAGAATAGGGGAAGGTCAGGTACAATTGAGATGCATCCTTATGTTAGGGTGATGAGATTAAAAATATTCATACAAAATATATGCATGATTCCACTGTATTAGTTTCTAAATTAGGAAAAACCATCAAAAGTCAAACCCTTACTATATAGCTATAGATGATTCTCTTAAGACAGACAAGGTTTGACTAAAAACATCACATTGCTTGATAGGAGACTCTCTAATATACAGAAATTTTAACAGGACACAGCCCAAAGATAAAGGGAAGAAGGCATAAGGGAATGCCTTGAAGACAGTTACAAAACCAGCTCAAGACTCTATAGCTGACCAAATAAAGTAAGGACAATAATGCCACTTTTTAATTCATACTCATGGAATAAAAGAAACAAGAAGTCAGGTCTACCATCATTGCCTTTAATGAACTAAAATTTAAGCAGCCATATAAAATTATGTACAGGTATATCATTAACAGGGAAAGTGTCCTTGACATCGTTGAAAGGAAAAACTGGTCAGATCAATGAATGAGTTTGTATAACATTGTATGCGTGTGCAAGTGTGTGTGCGCATGTGTGCATGTGGGTGCTTACATCTCTCTAAACATGCACGTAGGCAGATAGAGACATCGGTCATTGTTAGGCTGTAGGATTTAGAGTGATTTTTCAACTGCCTTTTCATGTCATTTGAGACATTTAAAATAAATGTGTGCTGTTTTTAAAGAATAAACTTATTTTGAGAGAAAGGGAGAACACAGTATATGCATAAGAAAAGGAAAGAACCCCAATTCTTAGGATACAAAGAGCTGACCTCAAAGTCTTCACAGTTCAGTAGGGGGAGATAGATTTTTAAACCATCATTAACTGTAGTGAAGTGTACTGTGGGCTATGGCATTAAGTCAGTAAAAAATAATAGAGACCCAAGGGAAGGAGTAAGCAGTTCCATAAAGAATAGTTGGGTAGGGAAGGATCTCTAGCAACGATAATGCTTCATGGCTACAGAGAGCCTTTGAGGCCCAGGAAAACTGTCAGCAAATGTGTGGAGACATGAAGCAGTACTGTCAAAGCAGGGAGCTCATAGTTCATTATGTCCTTGTGGGGCCTGGTCCCAGAGGCAGGAATTTGAAGGGCCTTTTCTGCTATGCTGGGAATTCTGGGCTTCATCCTAAAAAAAAAAAAATGGAAGCAACTAGGGAATTTTAATAGGGACATAACCATATCTGAGATGTCCCTGAGGTCCTTTCTGTCTCTTTTTTTTAAAAAGATTTTATTTATTTATTTGTCAGAGAGAGACACAGCAAGAGAGGGAACACAAGCAGGGGGAGTGGGAGAGGGAGAAGCAGGCTTCCCACTGAGCAGGGAGCCTGATGTGGGGCTCAACCCCAGGACCCCGAGATCATGACCTGAGCCGAAGGCAGACGCTTAACTGACGGAGCCACCCAGGTGCCCCCCTGAGGTCCTTTCTGAAGTCACCTGCTATAAATGGCTTTCAAATGTTTTTGAAAGGAATACAGAATACGAATTTTACCTGCAGCATTATGCACACACGCAAAAACACACACACAGTTCTGTAATAAGAATTTTATGAAATAATACCCTAATCACATACACTGTTCCCTGAATATATTCCGTTCTATTCCATGTGATGATGATGATGATGATTTTTATTATTATTGTCCTAACCCTCAAAATTGATCTAACAACCTGGAGTCAGCATAAAAAAATTTGCAAATTACTGACTTAGGGCAACCCCATGTCTAAGATGCTTCGGTGACTTTCCCAAGGTTCATAGTCAGAGGAAATTAAAAAAAAAAAAATCCAGTCTCCAAATTCCTATACCAGCAATTTCCCCCAAATCTGTGTTAGCTGGTGGTACTAAAAGGCAGTTCCAGTATTAACACAATGAACCGGCTTCTTCAGAATTCTGAGAATCCAGAATAAAGTACAATGATTTTTTAAAATAATTTAGTTTCATTATTGACATGAAGGTTTTTTAATCAGTCATTTAAAACAGACTATAAGGATCTGAAAATAAATGGTCATCTTTTGCCTATTTCTACCCCATAAAGATAGCACTTTAGGATAGACAGGCATGATGTCCCATAGAAATTTCACCCCTTCTTCCCAGGGCATGCTTTATAGAAGGAAGTTATTTTGATGTTCTTAAAATTTTCAGGCCACTATTTCTATTTCTGTAATGATAAAACTTGCTTTATTCACAGCACATCTCTACCAATTCAATACTTTGGTTGCCGCCAGTTTTTTTTTTTTTTTTTCAATCTGACAAAAATCCTAGAGGTTACAGAAATTCAGGTCTGGTTCTGGCAGGAAGTATCATTAGTAATGACTGGTTTGTGGATTAGTAAGTGAGATTTCAAGATTTAATGACAGCTCCTGATAAATCAACTGAAAATCCTGGTAAACAGGGAATATGGATTGGTTTTTAAACTTAGAATGAATCCCTTCAAATGTAAATATAGCCAATAAGTCTTGCTTTGTCTACTCATTCCTGCATTACTCTAGCACAGAATTTAGACAGGGTAACTGAATCTCCATACCTATCTCAATAAGAGTATTCTTTTTTTCAAATGGGGTTCAAGAAAGTAATCAGGTGAAAGGTACAAGAATGTTCATTGCATTTATTGTTTATAATATTAAACAACAGCAAAAAACCCATCTAAGTGTACATAAAGAGAATGGATAAACTGTTATATAATCATGAAATATAATATTATATCATGGAGAGAATCAATAAGCTTGCTACATTATTTATGCATATATTGGCATGAATATAGAGATTGTTGAGCAAAACAGTAAAAATTATAGGACTCATGCAAAATAACAGTAATAATATAAAGTTAAATATGCAAAACTACCATATTTTTTATGGATAATACATGTGGGGTAAAAATGTGTATGATAATGTTAAACACCAAATTCAGGATATTGATTTTCTCTGAGAAGGGAAAGTGAGGGATTGGAACTGGAAAGGGTGCAAAGGGGGCTTTCCTTCTATCTACATTTTTTCTTACAAAATTTCTGAGGCCAAGTGATGGGTTCCCTAGTGTGTATTATCTTACGATCTGTTCTTTTTTTCTTTGTGTGAAACTTTCATAATTTTTTTTTTTAGAGAAAGCACGGAGCCAAGATTCCCGGAAAGTGACTTCCAATGCCAACTCTGTCCCTGCTTTGACATGTGGTCTTAGGTGACTTGCTTAACCCTCGGTCCCTATTTTGTCAACTGAAAAATGAAAACAATAACCCTGCCATGCTTCATCGACTTGAAGTGGAAAACAATTAATAAAAGTCTTGGCAGAAGTGCCTACACTGTTAAATTCTGTGTCAACTCTGAAAAACAGAGGAAGACATTAGTAGCTCTTAGGAAAGCATTCATGGTCTCAGATAAGATGCCAACTTTCTCAGGCAAAACTCAGAATTTATCCAAAGTAAGGTGCATACAGGTGCACACAAAGATCAGAATTACAAACCATCACAAACCGTGTGACTGGTCTCTTACCACTCCCCAATGGCACAGAATAGCCAAATTCAGAGTCACTTTTTATACCAGTTTTCTCCTTGTT